TGCTGCGAGAAGGCCGCCGCCACGGTCTCAGTGGCAGGAGCAGCCATAGCGACTGCAACGGAAACGTCAGCGTACGTGCACTGGGAGGGAGCACAGCCCTGAAAAGCGAGTCTCTATCTTAGAAAGGGCAGCGACAAAGGCGGTCAGGGTGAGGTCACTAGGGTGTTGGCTAAGGAAGTGGTTGCGGGCAGTGGCTAAGCGGTCAGGCAGGCACATGGCAATAAGGTACAGGGTAGCGCAAAACGGTGGGGGGAAGGCAGTGAGCTGGGCAGTAGTGCTAACGACACAATAGCTAGTCTCTAGTGCGTGGAGGTGAGTGGCAAGTTCAGCAATCGTGGGGAAAGCAGAGAGATCGGGGAAGAGCATGGGGAGGATCAGGCGGCCAGCTGAGGCTGAGGCAAGCGTGAGGTAGCGTGCAACTACTGCATCTAGGAAATCCTTGGCGTTCGCGACAGTAGTGAAATGCGGACGCTCAGAAAGGGGAAGTGCATGACTAATGGCAAGCTGCGCTACAGCATCGCGAGAATCCAAGACAACCGCGAGCAAGCGCAGCAGCAGCAAAGGCCTCACTCTCAGCAGTGGTGGGGTCAGCAGGGAGGGGATCAGGGGCGAGGAAGCCAGCCATCAACATGCATAGCCAGTGAGTGGAGAGGGGCCGGCAGGGCGCATGGGGCCGGAGGTGCGCAGGAGAGGGGCTGGCTAGTTGGTAGGAGCCAGCTAGGTGGTAGGGGCCGGTTAGGTGGAAGGGGCGGTGATATTGGCCGGCTGGGCGCAAGGGACCGACTAGGCGCGAGGGGCCAGCTAGGCGCGAGGGGCCGGCAAGGCGCGAGGGGCCAGCTAGGGCACGAGGGGCCTGCGAGGGCGCGAGGGGCCGGCTAGGCGCGAAGGGGGCCAGCTTGGCGCTAGGGGCGGGCGACGATGCGAGGGGCCATCTAGGGCGTGAGGGGCCAGCGAAGGCGCGAGGGGCTGGCGACGACGCGAGGGGCGGGCCGGCTAGGCGCAGAGGGGCCGGCTGGGCGCTAGGGGCGGGCGACGACGCGAGGGGCCAGCTAGGGCGCGAGGGGCCAGCAAAGGCGCGAGGGGCTGGCGACGGCGAGAGGGGCGGGCTGGCTAGGCGCGAAGGGGCCGGCTGGGCGCTACGGGCGGGCGACGACGCGAGGGGCCAGCTAGGGCGCGAGGGGCCAGTGAAGGCGCGAGGGGCTGGCGACGGCACGAGGGGCGGGCCAGCTGGTCGCGAAGGGGCCGGCTGAACGCTAGGGGCGGGCGACGACACGAGGGGTCAGCGAAGGCGCCAGGGGCCAGCGACGGCGCGAGGGGCTGGCGACGGCATGAGGGGCGGGCCAGCTGGTCGCGAAGGGGCCGGCCGGGCGCAAGGGGCCGGCTAGGGCACGAGCGAGGGCCGACGGGCACGGTAGGGGCCGGCTACAGCACGAGGAGACGGCGGGGCGTGGTAGGCTAGGGCGCGGGGCGGAAGTGGGTGGGGGGGGGACCTAACCTGCGCATGATACCATGTTAGAATGCTAGAATAATTGAAACAAGGGAGTACAAGGGAGATATAGTGTTGGGGTTGTACCCACTAAGAACATTCACCGAGCCTATAACTTCTACATAACATCATATGTATAAGTTGGCATCTGATTCGTCAGAACCGCATGAAGCATTGTGTACAATCTCATACATACCAAAAGTACCATGCCCTTAGAATCATGAAAGTCGATTTGCATTATGTAGGAAGAAGAAAGAAGCAATTCCCCCATTTCAGTTTTGTCAAAATTCGGTTGGTACTTTTCGTTCACTCCTGTGAAAATCCTTTACCACGTGTGTACGCAAACTTTCCTTCCATCAGCAGTTGCTGCGCCTAAGAGCGTGTTCCTACAAGCCTCTTCCCAGGCTATCCTCTTCTCAAAATCGGCCCTTGTTTGGGAGTGTGTTCGAAGAACCGTTTTTCCAGCTAATTCGGTTTAGAATCACGTACTTCACCGGAATGAATTAGCTATCGTCAAAATCGCGCTGTACAGATTCGAGCGCGTCTGAGATTTTGGCGCCTGAAACGAGATTTGAAAACACGCCTTGAATCTCGTCACTCCCAATCTCACGTCACACTACGCGGAACCGCACTAAAATGTTTCGTGTCAAAATTACGCGACACTGTAGCGTGTGAGTCTGGGAAGAGGTTGGCTGGGAAGAGGCCACAGGAACGCGTTCTAAGAGGGTATCCTAAGTGGAGAGTTGACGCCAGCTAAGCTTAGCCGACGTCAACTCACCCGCAAAGCTCAACATCAAATGTGGACGTCAAACCAGATTCAAATCCCAACTTCGGACATGCTCACTCTTAAAAGTCTGCCCAAAATAAAAATACGGTATTAAGTTTTCCGACCAGGCAAGCAAAAATTCGGGAACCACCAGCATACTCAAATTTACCACGCCACAAACAAATCGTCATATCCCCTCCCAACGACGAGCAGGTTCGGTGGCGTAATTTCTGAACTGCCCGCTAAGCTATTGAAACAACACTGTGTGACGTCAAGTTCGACTATTGTGTTTCGGGGGCCCTACTTCGGCCATCCCGGAAATCAGAACTGTAGCGTGTACAGTGGTGGTAACCCTCTTTCAACATCTGTGAAGTCCCATTAGTGCTACTTCGGACAGTCTCTAAGGCCGCGTTTTGAAGTTTGGCCGAACTTTGAAGTTTAGCCGCCCGACTCGCCACGTCGGAATTGCACATTGCAATGTTTGGCGAGGCAATTCGAACTTTGGCCAACCACCCCTACCACACCTTGCCAGCCAGAATTCGTGCGACTGGGGTCCACGAACAACTGCGACCGAGGGTGAAACCTGGTTTCTGCATACTTAGCCGGCCACGCCAAAGAAATGTGACGTCGACCAAGCCACAAAAGCAGCACCAACCTGCCCGGCGCACGAACAGCCGTCAAACTGCGAATGCTCCACCCTTCTTCACCAAAGCCTTCATCAACACCCCAACCAGAAGGAGATGGCCTTAAAGCTCGCGTGTTAACTTCCTCGAGTTTCGTATCTTTGGTTGGGAGATCCCTAGAAATGTTGCCTGACAGCCAATCCCGTCTTTCCACCCAACCAACCTACATGCCGTTGAACTGCTTGGCACACTGGTTATAACTTTTTATTCTGGTAGAAATTTGGTGAAATCTTTTCAAGACAACTTTCCCAAAATTATCTGGAAGCTGGCCGTCAGGTGTCGCAGTCCTGTGCGACCCAAATTGTGTTCTGTCGCATATCGTTCTACGGATCGCCTGTCGATTTGATTTGGCGCGATGGGGTTCCGTTCGCAAAATGTTGAGGGCTGGTCGCCAAGTTTTTCGCATCGGGGTTGGCCAAAGTTCACCTACCACAACTTTTGCCAACCAAAACCTCAAACTTTGGCCAAACTTTCGCTGACGTGGCGAGTCGGACGGCCAAACTTCAAGGGTAATTTGCTGACAGATCAGCAACATTGAACTGTTGATCTGTACGGTTACGATTTGTTTTCGCAACCTAGAAACGTCATCTTTCTAATCTGACGCATTACAAGCAGTTCTCAGACATTAACATTAGCGTGGTTTTCTGATCTAAACGGTGGGTGGCTCGTTTTCAGTACTTATGCGGTAACACAACGGCACATCGCGTTTCCGCCAGCAATACACATCAGAATTCCTTTCCGAACATTTCGTTTCAACCCATCCTGACGTGCAATACACTGGTTGTTTTTTATACATTTCAAACATATTTGTTAGATACTATGTATCGTTCGCTACCTTAGAAAACTAGTCGCGCAGAAAGAAAATATACATTCGATGAATATTAAGCCCCTTTCCAAGCTTGAAAATTCCAAAAAAACAACATAAAAATAGCATTTTATACATATATAAGAAGTAATATTATATTTAATAGTGTAAAATATAGTTTACTCTAAATAATTATATAAAAATGCACTTTGTCCAAATTTATTTTTTGGAATATTCTCGCTTGAGAAGAGGAGCATGATATTTATTTCAGGTATAATTGAGCTGCACAACTAGTTTTCTAAGGTATTGAGGCGATTTAGACTGTCTAGCGAATATGTTGACAATATATAAATAATAACAAGTGTATTGCGCCTCAGGACGGGTTGAAACGAGATGTGCGAAAGGAATTCTGATGTGTATTGCTGGCTGAAACGCGATGTGCCGATGTGTCACCGCAAAAGTAGTGAAAACGAGCCCCCCACCGTTCAGATCAGAAAGCCACGCTAATGTTCATGTCTGAGAACTGCTCGTAATGTGTCAGGTTAGAAAGATGACGTTTCTAGGTTGCGGGAACAAATCGTAACCGTACAGATCAGAAGTTCGATGTTGCTTATGTGTCAGCAAATGACCCAAACTTCAACTCGGGCAAACTTCAGAACGCGATCTAAGATCGAAGTTTGGACACCACGTCAGCTCCTGATGACGGGCTCTGACGTGTCAAGCAGGTGCTCGGACAATTTGCACGAAGTTCATCCAGGAGACCCCCACCGGCCACAAACTCTGCGACGAGCAGCGAACAGTTTGGCCGTCAGGGTTCGCCCCAGGTGAGCCCCAAAAGGATCTGTACATGCCGGCCATAAGCACAAATGCCAAAACCATAAATTTTTGTGCGCACCTAGCGGCGAACCCAATTGGCGGATGAATGTAGATTGGTGTGTCGGCTACGGGGTACGAAATTGTGGGTGCTGCCCGCGGTTAATTCGACGCGTTGTGGGCAGGTTTTACTGTTTTGTGTTAGTTGCTGGCAGTTTGGCGGTTTTGTCGCACAGCGGTTGGCTGCTGACATTCGATTGGGTGTGGCTGGCGCGCGAAGAAGTAACCGACCACTGTACTCCGCGCACAGTTCGCATGCCCCGTTTGGTTCGTTGTCCAGCAGATGTGGACTTCCATTGGACACGTCACACACCCTGCACTCGATTTTGCTGTTGTCCTGTCCAAACTTCGTAAGAACGCGATCTAACAGTCGCTGGTGTTTCGTTCCTAGATACCATCTGCTTCCTCGTAAGGCGTGTCCTAACTCTCCCTGTGGCCTTGACTGCCGCTTCGAGTTACTCGACCCCTCTAGTCCCTCTCATTCTCCAGCCCTTCTATTGCGCGGTACAGACGAGCAACTATTCTGTTAATCCAAAGGCGAATCCAATCAGGAGAATCGCCCAAAATGGCGGCCGCACCGCCTAAGCGCAAGAGAACATGGGACACGCCACCAGTCGCGGATCTAGATGCCAATACACTGAACGGAGCGGCGTCTATCGCGGACGGACCGAGGAAAGTTCCAGCAGGAGACCGCAAAGGGAAGGCAAAAATGCCTGACGACGACTACGAGCAAGGCGACAGGGCCGGATCCGAATTAGGGTTTCGTCGACCCGTGCTGCCCGCGGCGCCGGGTGACAATGACGAGGTTGAAATGGACCTGTTAGAGGCACTCGAGCGAGAAGCAGAAGCAGCGGCGGCGGCGGGGGGGGAGGGCGGAGCCGGGGGTGGCGGATTCTCCGCCGAAGTGATGGATCTGCGCGGGTTGCGGAGAGCGGTGCTGGCGTTTGAGAAGCGGCTTAAGGAGAACATGGACGCGCGGATTCGCCACGTGGACCAACCGGAGAAGTTCATGGAATCCGAGGTGGAGCTCGACCGAGAGGTCAAGAAGCTCCACGCTGTCGCAAGCGCACCGAGCCTGTACCCTGATTTAGTACGGTTGAATGCGGTTCCGTCGATTTTGTCGCTCCTAGGGCACGAGAACACGGATATCTCGATAGGAGCGGTTTCGTTACTAGGAGAGTTGACGGATGCGGACGCAGTAGGGGAACACGAGGAGGAGGCGAAAGCGTTGGTTCAGGCGATTGTAGATTCGAGCGGGTTGGAGCTCTTAGTGCAGAATCTGCAGCGAATGGACGAAAAGGATAGCGAAGAAGGTAACACCGTTTTTGCGACATTAGGGATTTTCGAGAATATGATTGAGGCGCTGCCATCCGTCGCCGAAGCCGTCTGCGAACGAACCCGTCTGTTACGCTGGTTACTGGGCCGAATCCGCGTTAAAGAGTTCGACGCGAATAAGCTATACGCGAGCGAGATCCTCGCTATCCTGCTACAGGGCAGCTCGGCGAACCAGAAACGCGTCGGCGCGATGAACGGCGTGGATTCTCTCCTGCAAGCCGCGGCAATCTACAAATCTCGCGACCCGAAATCGACGGAGGAGGAAGAGATGGTGGAGAATATCTTCGACGCGCTGTGCAGCGTGGTGATGGTGGACGAGAACAAGGAGCGGTTCGTCAAGTCGGAGGGCGTCGAGCTGATGATCATCACCATGAAGCAGAAGAAGCTCGCGTACACGTCCGCCATGAAGGCTCTGGATTTCGCCACGACCCGGTGCCCTGCGGCTTGTGAACGATTCGTCGATGTTCTGGGGCTCAAGACACTATTTTCGGCCTTCATGGGGAAGGTGGGCTGGTAATGGTGACTTGTGAAAGCGCTGGACTTGGCGCCACCAGGTACCCTGCTATCATGCTGTGTGGCTATCATGCTGTGTGGCTATCATGCTGTGTGGCTATCATGCTGTGTGGCTATCATGCTGTGTGGCTATCATGCTGTGTGGCTATCATGCTGTGTGGCTATCATGCTGTGTGGCTATCATGCTGTGTGGCTATCATGCTGTGTGGCTATCATGCTGTGTGGCTATCATGCTGTGTGGCTATCATGCTGTGTGGCTATCATGCTGTGTGGCTATCATGCTGTGTGGCTATCATGCTGTGTGGCTATCATGCTGTGTGGCTATCATGCTGTGTGGCTATCATGCTGTGTGGCTATCATGCTGTGTGGCTATCATGCTGTGTGGCTATCATGCTGTGTGGCTATCATGCTGTGTGGCTATCATGCTGTGTGGCTATCATGCTATGTGGCTATCATGCTGTGTGGTTATCATGCTGTGTGGCTATCATGCTGTGTGGCTATCATGCTGTGTGGCTATCATGCTATGACCGCTTACAGATTCACTGCACACCATGCCACCACCATTTGATTCGCTAGCATGGTGTGCAGCCCATTTCACTGGCTGCACATTGTGAAGGGTGCGTTGTTTGTGTTGTCGTCTGCTTATGAGTTATTATCGGAGTCTTTTTTTGAGGCGCCTAAAAAATAGACTCCTCACGCACTTGCTACGCTAGGATGGTGTGCAGCTCGTGTCACTGGATGCACATTCTGAAGGGTGCTTTGTGTTGTCATCTGCTTATGACCTGTCATCGGCCTGCGTGTTGCGTGCAGGTGGCAGTGAGGCGCAAGGACAAGTCAGAGACGCTTCAGCTGATGGCTGCCTGCTCTGCCTTTGGCTTATGTGCTTCCGGGATGCGTGCTGTGTGTGCTGCTCGGTTGTGTGCTGCTCGGTTGTGTGCTGCTTGGTTGTGTGCTGCTCGGTTGTGTGCTGCTCGGTTGTGTGCTGCTTGGTTGTGTGCAGGTGGCAGTTAGGCGCAAGGACAAGTCAGAGACGCTTCAGCTACAGCAGGAGATAGATGAGCGTGTCATCTCCCTCATTGCGTCTCTGCTCTGTACGTGTCATCTCCCTCATTGCGTCTCTGCTCTGTACGTGTCATCTCCCTCATTGCGTCTCTGCTCTGTACGTGTCATCTCCCTCATTGCGTCCCTGCTATGTACGTGTCATCTCCCAGGCCCCTTTGCTTCTGTTAATGTACGCATTGATTCGTAGACTTCCTACAGTAATATCCCTTTCAATATTGCGCACTCGGGTGAGGGGCTGGTGGCAGAAAGTGAGTGGCGTTGGAAGGATTGATGCGTGAATGCACCCTTCTCTTGGAAAGGCGCCCCTTAGGTGGGGCCTGAGGGCAAGAAAACGGCTCATTACCACGTCATTCTTCCCGACCCCACCCATGCGTCAGCCCATCCCCTTTTTCAACGGAGCTGACTTGTGGGTTGACTCAAAGTCAGCTTGCATTCACGCGTCAGTCCTCCTAACCCCACCCATGTGTCAGCCCATCCCCATTCACAACGGAGCTTGCGAGCATGCATCATGTGGCGTCCATTGACGTCAACGCTCAATGGGCTTGATAGCCACAACGATTCAAAGTTAAGAGATGAGCCACACCCACCAACGACTCAAATTCGTATTCTGCTTATGTGTAACCCCCCACACCCACCCTGCGTTACCAGCGGGGTTGTCCAAGGGATCGAGATGAGACCACGTCGTGCTGAGATTGCAGAGAGCTCACAATAAGTTTTTCTATTGCCTTCCGCACCCCTCTCTTTGTACCACAGCGGGGTTGTCCAAGGGGTCCAGACGAGACCGCGTGCTAAGCAAATTCGTGGAGGGCGAGTATGAGAAGATCGACCACCTGCTGGAGCTGTATATCAAGTGAGTGGGGGAGGGGGGGAGGGGGAACGCATGCTCAGGCAAAACAAAGGCCTGCTTGTAACGAGTATGAGAAGATCGACCACCTACTGGAGCTGTACATTAAGCGAACGGGGGAGGGAGGGTGAGAGGGAGCGAGTGAGTGAAAGAGGTTGCATCTCTGGGCTTTCCATTGTTTGAGGGAGGGAGGGAGGGAGCGTGTGACTAAGCGAGTGTCACGAAGTGAGTGTGTGGAAGAAAATCGACCAGCTCTAGGGCACTCCGTGACTCACCTTCTCAGATCTCACCCCCTCCGGTCTCACCCCCCCTGGTGTCACCCCCCCTGGTCTCACCCCCCCTGGCCTGCTGGGTGCTCTTGCCTGCTGGGTGCTCTTGCCTGCTGGCTCACCCCCTCTGGCTGACCCGCCACCAAACTCTGGCTGACCCACCCACCCCCCCCCTGCTCCCTTTGCTCCCCCTGCTCCCCCCCTCTTCCCCGGGCCCTCCTTTCCTTCTCATGCAAACGCAATGGCAGGTGCTCTGAGCTGGTGTGGGCCGAGGAGCTGGCCCCTTTGCCTTCACCTTTGCGTTTACACACTCACTGGCCCCATCCCTCTTCCTGCCCCTCCGCCCCAACAAAAACACTGTGGCAGGTACTGGGAGTGCGTGCGCTTAGAAGAGAGGCGACTGTCTCGTTTCTTACCAGTATTCCCCTTCTCCCCTGTGCCCTCACATCACCCCCCCTCCCCTATGGCAGGTACTGGGAGCGTGTGCGGGCAGAGGAGAGGCGGCAGGAGGAGCAGCAGAGAAGACGAGAGATGTTGAGAGAGCGAGGAGAGGAGGAGGACGAGGAGGATGAGGTGAGTTTTGATACGTATCAAAACGAGAGATGATGAGAAGCTAGGAGAGGAGGAGGAGGACGACGAGGAGGAGGTGAGGGAAGGAGGAAACAAGGAGGGGGGGAGAGGTGGGGTTGGGGGTGGGGGGTAAAGGAGAGGGGGTTGAATAGGGTCTTTGGTTCGACTTGGAATTCTCATTTATGAGAGGTGAATAGACAGCAGGGACTGGTGCAGGAGGTCGAGGGGTAGGAGGAGGGCACCCATTCATTTACTTATTGAGTCCCGACCCATCCTTGTTCTTCCTCCTCCGTTTTGAGTCGACTCAAATGCAGGAGGTCGAGGAGAAGGAGGAGGGCACCCAGCCATTTGCTCATTGAGTCCCGATCCATACTTGTCCCTCCTCCTCCCTCCCCGCCCCTCGCTCCTCCCCCGCTTCTATCTCCCTCCCTGTCTGTCTCCCTCTCTCTCTCCCCCTCTCTCCCACACGCTTTCAGATGGCTGATGAGGATTGCTATCTCGCTCGCCTACAGGCATGCCTTTTTTTCCGAGTCAGCTCACAAGCAGACAAAGAAAAGGCACTCTCCCTTCTCTCGCTCACCTCCCACCACCGTCTCACCCGCTTTCAGATGGCTGATGAGGATCGCTATCTCGCTCGCCTGGAGGCAGGCCTCGTCTCTTGAGGCGCCTCTAGAGGGGACTCAGTTGAAGACGCCCTCCCTCCTCTTGCCCTCTCCCACACGCTTTCAGATGGCTGATGAGGATCACTATCTCGCTCACCTACCGGCAGGCCTCATTCTTCTCTTGCTCTCGCCTGACCTCTCCCCCTCTCACTCGCAGATGACTGATGAGGATCTCTATCTCGCTCGTCTAGAGGCAGGCCTCTTCACACTCCAGGTGCGACCTCTCCCACATCTACCTGCAGCTGCTTGTTTCACCTTCCTGCACCAGCACGTTTACCTGTGCTGCTTCCCTTTTCCCTTCACAGGCTGTAAGGCATTGAACCCTGTACCCCCACAACTTCCTAGCACCAGCACCTGCTGTCACTTGGAACCCCCACTGATTTCAGCACTGGCTGTTCTTGTCCCTGCAGCTAAGAGCTTACCCTCCTTCCCTCCGTCCTCCTTCCTCTTCTCCTCTTCGTCCCCTTCTTTCTCCTCATTTTCCCCTCCTTTCCCCCCTCCGTCCCCCGATCGTTCCCCTGCAACAACTGCCACCATCACCATCAACTCTGCCCTCGTCAGCTCATCGCTCTCATCCTCGCTCACCTATGGGCCGCAGAGTAAGCAACCCCATGGCCTCTTAGCACGCACTTCCAGTAACAATCAGCACGCCCCAGAATCAGCCCTCCCATGCCCTGTAACACACGCCTTCCAACCTTGCCTCTGCAATCTTCCATCACCTGTTGTTCAGTTTCCTTGGACTTCCCTGCACGTGCTCCCTTGATTTTCCGTTTCAGCCTCAGCATTCAGTCCAACCAATCGTCTCCCACCCACACCCCCTCTTCCCTGTCTCTCCCACGTCCCCTTCCCAGTCTCCATTGGCGTACCATCCATATCATCCATACCATCCATACCATCCATACCATCCATATCATCCATACCATCCATACCATCCATATCATCCATATCATCCATACCATCCATACCATCCATACCATCCATATCATCCATACCATCCATATCATCCATACCATCCATATCATCCATACCATCCATACCATCCATACCATCCATACCCTCCATGCCATCCATACCACCCATAACATCTGTTCTGTCATGTGCCCCCTTTCCCATTCTAGGCACAGTGGCATGAGGCAGCGCTTTAACCTGCTGCTGTATTTGGAGGCACCTCAAATAATCGCCCCCCCTCCCCCTTTCCCCTTCTCTCAACCCTTCATCCCCTCAGGCAAGGCGGCATGAGGCAGCGCATTGACCTGCTGCTGCGTTTGACATGCTTCATAACATCTCTTCCTTCCCCTCACGTGCCCCTTCCCCCATCCCGTGCACGGCGGCATGAGGCAGCGCATTGACCTGCTGCTGCGTTTTGAGGCACCTCAAAACATCTCCCCTCCCCTTCTCCACGTCACTTAACCCCTACCCCCTCCAGGCACGGCGGCATGAGGCAGCGAATAGACCTGCTGCTGCGGCAGCAGAAGCTCTCAAGAGACCACGTGAAGGGTATACTGCAGGTGAGAGGGCTGTGGCTTTTGAGTCGACTCAAAAGCAGCAGAAGCTCTCAAGGGATCATGTGAAGGCTATAGTGCAGGTGAGAGGGCTGGGCGGTTGCTGCTAAATGGGTTGCAAGGGAATGAGTACTTGGCAGGTGAGAGGGTATACTGCAGGGGAGTCGGAAGAAACACTATCAGGTGAGAGTGAGTGAGTACTACAGGTGAGCACAGTGTGTACTTTCCAGGTTAGTGGCAGTTTAAGTGACTTTGCTTGTTTCCCCCCTCCGCCTTTGCCCATTCCTACCTCCTTCCCTCCATTCTTTGTGTCTCTGCACTACCAGGAGTTGTGTGACAATGCCACGTCTCCCACCTCTCTCGGGGATTGTTGAGACATTCTAACCACCTCCCCCCCCCCTCCCCTCTCTCCCTCTGCCTCCCATTCAATGTGGATATCCACCACCAGGAGTACAGCGACAACATAGGAGACCTGGATGGGGAGGAGGAGCGCGACAGACGGCGGGACAGGATAGCCAAGCTCATCCGAGACTTGTGATGACTAGTGTGGAAATTTTGTGGGGTCGTTTGTAAACGTTCAACCTCAGGGTGTTGTGTTGTGCTGCCTTTTCTGGCTGGGTAGGCGGCAGGCTCACAGCACGGCAGAGTTGAGCCTGCATTCAATTGATGGAGAAGGCTCAAGACAAGAAGATGTGTTGAAACTTGGGATGGTCCTCCTGTCTCATCGCTCTAATGTGGATTGCTGGCCCGGCTTGTGTACAGAGTTGAGTAACACGAACCCATTATTTCACAGCAATAGTATGTTGCTTTGCCTATGCAGCTAATGCAATCTGATGCACATTTCAGTGATGTAATCCGTCAGTTATTGATGTAACAGTGAGTCCACTGGAGTCAGTGATTGATGTGTGTCAATCAACCATTCCAGCATGACATTTGCCCTACGTGGCCAACCGCGCCCAACATTAACCCCAGAACTGGAAGGCAATAATCTCCAACGAATATTTCCATTGCAGTAGTGAGCAGGTAAGATCCGGCAAAACCAGCTTTTTTATCCCTGTTCCAGCAAGAGCGATCTCCTTCTCATCGCCAGCTCTTCTTCTCCTGCTTTCCCTTCTTCGCCTGCTGCCCTCCCTTCTTACCAGCACCAGAACCAGCAGCACCACCACCGGCAGCATCACCCTTGGCACCACCAGCAGCAGCGGCGGCCTTAAGCCGGCGTTCATGCAGCAGAGCCACGCCGGCGGCCTTCTTAGCGCGCCCCATCTGCATGGCGTCATACAGCCCCCGCCTCTTGCGCGACATGAGCATGCGCGCCATCGCCTTGCCCCCATCCTCCCCATCCGCCCCTGCTGCTGCTTGCACTGCTCCTTGCTTCTCCTCCTCTCCTTCCGCACCCTCCTCATCCTCCGCCTCCTCCTCCTCTGACTCTCCTCCCTCGCCCTCCTCTCCTGCCTCCTCTTTCTCGTCCTCCTCCTCCTCTCCACCCTCCTCTCCCTCTTTGCCCCCTTTGTCTTGTACCAGAGACGCCGAGAAGGGAACACCTGAGAGCTCCTTAGCCAGATCAGCAGCATAGGCTTTCTCTTCAGCTGCAACCTGGTTACCACATGGTTACGACAAAAAAAAAACATAACAGTCACAACCAACGTTCCAATACACAGCATCACAATTGTACCTCTGAGGCTGTGACCACAAGGAAGGGTGAACAAGCGGATAAAGGAAACACAAACCAAAAAGCGCATTGGTATCAGAGCCTGGTCTCCTCACCTCTGCGATCTTGGCAGCCATGGCTGCTTCCTCCGCTTTCACCTCATCCTCCCCTCCCCCCACCGCCACGCTCCCCTCGCCACTCATCCGCACTTCATGCGCCCCTTCCAGCTCCAGCAGTGGCGCCCCTCCCCCACCTAGCATCCCCCCCATCGTCCCCTTGTGTGTGGCTGCATCTCGGGCCGCTGCGGCTTCTTTCAGCCGTTGGATCGCCGCGGCATAGTCGGGCAGATAGCCCTCCTCCTCGTGGTTCACGAAGGGGGAGAGATGAGGCGGTGGCACACTGGGTGGGAGAATGGGGGTTTGACAGTTTGGGAAGGGAAACCATGTAAGCTCAGGGAAAATTAGAGGCCAGTTCGGCGTAGTCGGGCAGATAGCCCTCCTCCTAGTGTTGTGGTTCACGAAGGGGGGAGAGGTGGGGCAGTGGGACGCTGCATGGAGGGAGAAGAGAAAAGAGGAAGACAGGGAATTCGGGGAGGGGGGCGTTTGTGGAAGGGTATATATGGCGAGGCACAATCCGAGAGGTACACATGCAAGCAGTCAGAATAAGGAGCACATACGACTGGAAGCATGTGAGCAAGCACTCATGGTAGCAGTGGTGGTTAGGTTCAACACAAGTGCCAAGCACTCCTGGTAGCAGTGGTGGTTAGGTTCAACACAAGTGCCAAGCACTCCTGGTAGCAGTGGTGGTTAGGTTCAACACAAGTGCCAAGCACTCACAGGCCAGCGGCATAGGGGGCGAGGGCAGGAGGATGCATGCAGGCACTGGCGCAGTGAAGGGCTTACAGTATCATGCACAGCGTCAAAGATTTCACACACTAGTGCCAAGCTGCGACTCACAGGCCAGGGGCGTAGGGCGCGGAGGGCAGGAGGATGCGGGCATTGGCGCAGTCGAAGATCCACTGCGGCTGGACGTACTCCCGGGATAGGATGCGGTGCTTCTGCTGGGGGCGGTCCACCACCTGGCAAGTGGGGATTGCGGGTGTGTCAATGGGTTTTGAGGGGAAATGAGAAGGGGGCAGGGAGCAGTCGAAGATCCACTGCGGCTGCACGTAGCAGGATCCCTGCACATGGTTAGAATGCGGTGCACTCTCCCACATCAGATCCTTGCATCATGCACGATCTCCTGGGAGAGAATGTGGTGCTTCTGATGCGGGCACTCCACTGCCTGCAAAGGGTTGTGCAGGCAAGGGCAAGAGGGAGAGAGAAGGGGGAGAGAGAGCAATGGAGCAGAATGAGAGGCAGGAAATCCATCACCCATCGACCGGATGAACCCCTGGCGTGTCATGAACCCCTACCTGGTGGGTGATCGACTCATCTGTCTCAGGGGCAGGCGCGCCCTCCCCTCCCAGCTGGCCTTGCCGCCAAGAGCCCGGATGACAAACAGCAGAGGCTGTCTGGGTACCTCTCTTCCGAGAAAGAACACGGGCCCTCGGAACAGCCGCCGGCACACCCTCGTCTCCTCATCATCCTCATCCCCCTGGTGTGCGCTGCTAGTGCCTTATCTGGTGTGCGCTGCTAGTGCCTTACCTGGTGTGCGCTGCTAGTGCCCTTACCTGGTGTGCGCTGCTAGTGCCTTACCTGGTGTGCGTGCGCTGCTTGTGCCTTACCTGGTGTGCGCTGCTAGTGCCTTACCTGGTGCGTGATAGACTCGTCAGTCTCAGGGGCAGGAGCCCCCTCGCCTTCCCAGCTGGCCTTGCCGCCAAACGCCCGAATCACAAACAGCAGCGGCTCCCTGGGTACCTCTCTCCCAAGAAAGAACACCAGCCCGCGGAACAACCGCCGACACACCCTCGTCTCCTCATCGTCCTCATCCCCCTCCTCCTCCTCCGCCTCCCCCCTCCCTTTCCGCCCCGCACCCTCCACTTCCTCCTCGTCCTTCTCGTCCCTCCCCTCCCCCCCCTGTGCGCGTGCTACTGCCTCCATGGCGGCTAGCCGGCTCTGGAGGGACGCCATGCGCGATGCTGTCGCCTGCTTTCGCAGCACTGGAAGCTTCTCAGTCGCTTCCTTCTCTGGGTCGACTGGTGGCTTCTCTGCTGCTTCTGCTGCTGCCTCGTCGGCTTCCCCTCCCTCTGCCTTCTCCTCCTCTCCCCCCTCCTCTGCGGTATATCCAGCACTGCCCTCCACAGCACCAGCAGCATCAGCAGGAGCACCAAGAAGCACAGCAGAAGCAGCAGCTGCGGCCTTAATAGCTTTCCTCTCTCTCCGCAGCTTGGCTGCTGCCGCCGCCTCTGCCAGCTTGCGCATCACGGCATACAGGTCTGGTGCACGCAAGGGGGGCGAGAGGGGGGGGAACTTTTGAGTCGACTCAAAAGTCACCTTGCTGCCGCCGCCTCTGCCAGCTTGCGCATCACGGCGTACAGGTCTGGTGGTGGGGACAACAGGAGGGGGGGGGGGGGGGGGGGGGGGGTGTATGTAGCACAGGCATTTAAAAGCAGGGGAATGTGGGCTGCTGCTGGCGCCTCTGGTAGCTTGCGCATCGCTGCATACAGGTCTGGTGCAGGCAAGGGGGGAGACTAGAGAACACGATGGAAGGACACCAGGGGAATGAGGGGCGCTGCAGCCCCGGCTGGGAGTCAGTTGACAGCAGTGGGTGTGCGATAAAGAAGGATAATAGTGGAAAAGGCAACAGGCATGGAGCGGAAGTATAAGGAGAGAGGCATACCTGCTGCAGCCTTCTCGAGGCGAGGGTCGAGCTTCGGAGGGTAGGCGAGCCGCAACTCGTGGTACAGCTTGAAGTTGACAAAGCCCATGAGGGTCTGGAGGCGGGGGAACGGGGTTGGGTGGGTGGGGGGGGAGGGGGAGGGCGGGGATTTGAGGGGGGAAAGGGGGAAGATGTGACACCAGAAACGTGAGTATGACCCAGAAGTAGTTTTCAAACGACTAGTTCGACCCTCAACGAGTAGTTTGTGAGAAGTCACAACTAGTTTCTGGTGCAAGCGAGCGCATTCAAACGCACATGCATGCATGCATGTCGCCATCCTCCGATGCTCACCTCGTAGAACTCGAGGAAGGTGACTCAGAAGTCCATGTCGGTGGGCATGACCTGCATGAGCTGCATGAGCTGCATGAGCTGCACCCCCACCGAGACTAGCTGTGCTCAGGCAGAGCACACACCAGCCACCCCAAGACGCACCTCGTAGAATTCCAGAAACGTGAGCATGACTCGGAAGTCCACGTCGGTGGGCATGACCTGCATCAGCTGATGTGGCACCAGCCACGTCACCTGCTGCCCCACCACCTCCGCCTGGGAAGGGAGAAGGAATCGGATCGGAGGGAAATCGGATCGGAGGGAATTGGAATCGAGGCACCTTAGATCACAATCAGACTGCACCTTTGAATCGTGGCATGTGCCATGTGACCTGCCGTGCCGCCCTATCACCTCCACCTGCATGCCGTTCTCATGTCCGCGAAACCACACGAGTCACAGCGGGAAGTGAGGAGTCTATTTTTGAGGCGCCTCAAAAATGTCCGCGAAACCACACGAGGCACACAGCATGGAGGAAAGGCTTTCGATTCGACTCAAACGCATGCCGTTCTCATGTCCGCGAAACCACACGAGTCACAGCGTGAAAGAAAGGTGGAGGGTGCCAGGCGTTGACGACGTGCACGGGACGAGGCCAGGTGAGACGGGCATTTATGGGGTGACTTTAAACCAAGATGGCCTCAATTTTTTGGTAAGACTTCGAGGGTTTTTTTGCAGATTTATGGCTGCGCAAGCTTACCAGGTCGCTTCAAGGCTGGACGTGTCATTGAGCAGAACGGTTCCTTGTGTGAATGCGTCACCTTCTGACGACGGTTCCCGCTTGCGCACATCTTCATCGCGCCGCGCCCACACGAGGGCACATGGCATGGTGAACACGTGCACGCGAGGGACCAGCGTTGCTAGGTGACACACAACACAACACAACAGCTCAATGGCCGGTACAGCCTTGAAGCGATCTAAAAACATCCGCATTCACAAATGTGCAAGAAACTTTCGAAGACTTACCAAGATATGAGACCATCCATCCATGCCCTGAGTCAACCCAAAAATGCCTATTTCTCACCCGGCCCTATCCCCTGCACCTCGGCGCCTGGCACACCTTCCAACATTTCTTACATGTGACTACATGCGAACGTAGCGGCACAACCCTCCGCCGAAAGTGTGGAGGCCAATGAGAGTGGGCTATAGTGAAGGGGCAACTAGGGAGAGAACCAGGGGAAGCAAGATGAGTGGGAGGAGGGCGTGGAAGGGCGTGGCCGAGAGGATGGGGAGGGGGTGGGGGGAGAAGGGGGAGCGAGAGGGGGAAAAAAAAGGGGGTTTGTGCGTGCACCACTGCACGTACTAAGTTTTAACTCCTGGATTGCACTGAAATACCTGGTAGTAGGTGAGGAGTCTATTTTTGAGGCGCCTCAAAAATAGACTCCTGGATTGCACTGAAGTGAAATACCTGGTAGTAGATGCCTTTAACAGAGATAAACACTTTCCGCAGGGCGTGCGTGCGAGTGACATACGCCTGCCATTCCAGGGACAACCTGCATGGATGGGGTTGTTATGTGGGAGTAGATGACAAAAGAAAGAGGCAGTGTATGGAGGGGTGCAAGGGTGCACGCGCGCTAGTGACGTATCCCTGCCACCGACCCTCTCTCACCACCTCCCCACTCACCCACCCCGCACCTCCGGGCATTGCCCATCTCTGAACATGATGCAAGGGTGGTGTCCGCAGGACAAGTAGCAACTTGATTGACATTAGCCCCCCTTCACCACCCCCTCACCTGCGGGCGTTGTTGACCCGCTTGCCGGGGATGCGGAAGGTGGCGTCAGCGGGCAGCGTGGCGAACAGGTGCAGCATGGTGAGCGGACCTCTCCCCTCCACCTACCCCTCTAAGGCTCTTCCCCCTCCACCTCACCAGCTACCCCCTTTCTCCCTCACCTGCGCGCGTTGTTGACTCGCTTGGCGGGGATGCGGAACGTGGCGTCAGCGGGCAGCGTGGCGAACAGGTGCAGCATGGTGAGCGCGTCGTCCAGATCCCTGAGGGCGTCGATGAACGACGGGTACCTGGTGTGGGGGAGAAACGCCGGACGAGCGAATTGCGAGAAGGGAGAGGGGGGAGGACGCGGAAGGGGGTGGATAATAGGTGCAGTGCAGCATGGTGAGCGCGTCGCCCAGGTCCCTCAGGGCGTCACTGAAGGAGGGGTACCTGGGGTTTAACACATAGCAGTGGGGTACCTGGGGTTTAACACATAGCAGAGGCGCCTCAAAAGGTACCTGGGGTTTACTACTTTTGAGGCGCCTCAAAAGGTACCTGGGGTTTAACACATAGCAGAGGGGCAGTGGGGCAATGTGGCGAATCGATGCAGCATGGTTAGCTCATCGTCCAGAGATCCCTCACGGCGTCGATGAACGACGGATACCTCATGGGGTTTAAAGGGGAGGTGTTGGAAAGTGGGGGTCGGGGTTTAAGCAGTATGAAGCAAAGGAGAAAGCAGGCTTCGCGATGAACGCATTATCACTGAGTTAGCAACAGGAAACGGAGGGGAGTTCAAAAAGGGCAAACGGAAAACAGATACGGCTGCATAACTAATCGACCTTTACTCCCTCTTACTCAGTCACGCTCGCTACACGCACCGCTCTTCCCTTTAACGCACCTCTCCTTCACGAGGTGGTCCAGACTGACACGTGGCAGACTCCTCTCAAGCCGCTCCACCTTCTCCGTCTCCAGCCGCCCCTTGGCCTTGCGGATCTTCTTCCGTTGCGCGCGCAGCTCCCTAGAGAATGCGGAAAAGAGTAGGGGAGAGGGTTGGGGGGAATTGGGGGAGGGTTGGGGGAGATGAATCACACGAGGTTACACTTTCCCCCTTGGCCTTGCGGATCTTTTTCCGCTGCGCGCGCAGCTCCCTGCGCGACAGCAGATTCGGAACAGGATTTGGAAGGAGTTGGGGGGCGAATGTGTTCTTTAGAATTCTATTTTAAAAAAAACACCGCATGGCAAATTAATTACATCCTCAACTCCCTTGGCCTCGCGGACCTTCTTCCACTGCGCTCGGATCTCCCTGGCTAGGGACCGCGGAGACGTTGGAAACAGGGTCGGAATGAAGCAAGCAGGGGACAGGGTTTGGGAAAGGGTTGTGCGAACACGGGATTTGTGCTACCAGTATCCCCCTTGGCCTTGCGAATATTCGTCCTCTCCGCACAGTTACCAACCTATGCGAAGAGTTATTAAAATTCCCAAGGAGAAGAATGCCTCACCCTCTATGGTCAATATCCTTCACATGATAGTAGTACTGATCAGTAAGCGGTTGTTGAGCAAGAAGGTTGATGCCCTTGACATGGCAGTACGTCTCACCGTACATGACACAGAGGAGCGACATGTGCTCATGGGGAACAACGCACCGTTGCAGCTCCAAGAGAGGCTCGTGGGCGAGGAAGTTGATGTCCTTGACATGGTAGTACGTCTTGTGCGCCCCCTTGGTCTTCTTCTTGGGCTCGCGCGGGTGAATGCCCTTGAGGATGCACAACCGCCTGCGAGTGACAAAAGACGGACACGGCATAAGAGCATGTCAAACTTACGTTGACTTTGAAAACTTTTGGGCTTCCGCGGTTGAATGCGCTTCAGGATGCATAGGTGCTTGCGACAGACGCAAGGGATGCAGCAGAGGGGAGAAAGATGGGAGGCCCTAACGACCCTACTCTGATAATGCTTTTGAGTCGACTCGAAAGCGTACTCTGATAACCCCCAGGAATTGACCAATCCATGCAGTAAGCTGGCTTTTGAAAACCCTCAAAATCCATGCAGTATTCAAAACCCTGACGCACCTGAAGTCCGCTAGTTTGAGTTGCAGGCGCACGAGCGCCTGATTGCGCGTCGTGTACTTCGCGGCATTGCCCTCCTTCCCCTGCCGCGCGGCGAACGACGCAAGAACAAATCACAGGGACGGGAATCGTCAGATTACTCTCCTCCCCTTGCTGCTTAGAGAACGAAATCGGAACAAAGAGACGGGAGCCGCGAAACTCGGCCAACGGAAACACAGAACTTCAACAGCTGACGGTAAGCAGCTGCACGGGAACCAGACTACCCTATGGGGAATCGCAACGACAGTGACACATCGGTCCGCTTACTCTTTTCTTCTTAAGCATGGTGCGTGGCGATAGGGAACGTGGATTAGGTAGCCGAGCCGGCAGAATCCGGCGCGATAACGGAAAACCCTGAGGCTAATATCGGAAACCGCAGAAAAGGGGAGATCAGCAGCTGACACCTAGGGTTTTGACAGGGATCAGGGTGTGGTGTGTGAGTGGCAGGTGCAGCAGGGCTCGGCAGTGTGGGGTTCGTTACAAAAGCAGGAAGTTAGGGATTCATGCGAGTTGCAGATAGTATGGAGGATTTCTTTCAAAATACTCATATTTATCATCTGGTCTTGTCAACAACCGAACATTTGGTAGATGCCGTGAATCATGCAACGGAGAAGAATTGTGCACCTTGAGTTGAAAATTGGTAGGACAAGGTAAGAAGTAAAACAGGAGCTAAAATTACAGTGTTCACATATCTTTACCCCTCTAGACTATTACCAGACAACTCAGTCACTACACATCATGAGCAATTTATGCATCCCACACGAGGATGCTCCTCTCGGGAACCCCGGCCTCGTTGAGCACTTGCAGCGCGGCTTGGTTGGACTGCTTGTCGCCAAACACCACAGCAGCAGTGAGCTCAGGGTCGTACTCCAAGTCATCTGCATCAAATGCATCCGCAAACGACCCCACCAGCCCGTCCCACTCCTCCCCGTTGGTCGCGTCCACTGTGGGCCTCACCTTCGCATTCAGCTTCTCCCAGTGGGCAAAGCGCTCCTGCAGAAAATAATTAAACATGGGACAGTCAGAACGGGTTAGATGTCATTGACTGGGTATTGTCGGAATAAGAGAATCGTCCATGCAGGAAAGCAGCCACTTTGAGTGCATTTCCTGGGTACTCCTCCCACTCCCTGTCGTTCTCCCTCTCCCTCTCTCTAAGCCCCATCACCACTTTTGTCTTCGTGCAATCCCCCTGCCACAGTCTCCATCAACGACCACCCAGACACACAGACTACTACTTCCAGTCCGGCCCCAACTCCAGATAATGAGCCTATGCATTCTACCTCTACTCTCATCCATCCATGAGCAATCAGAACGAGCTGAAGAGCTCAAAGGACTAGCAAGCTCCACACACCTTGTAGGCAATGCAATTGCCCCCAACTTCTGACCAGGGAAACGAGGGGAGCCATGGCACCTTCTGCCATTGCACCAATGCTCACCTTGTACGGCTGAAGGTGAGGGAGAAGAATAGAAGAGCCGCACTTCCGAGCGCATCTTGAGGAACAGCGAGCCAACGTCCGAGGCCTCTATGGGCGACCGCGCCGCAGCAGCCATCCCCCTAACTTCTGAACAGGATGTACAACCCCAAAGCTCACCTTGTAGGCCACAGCGGATGGTGACGGTGCGGAGTAGAAGAGCCGCACTTCCGAGCGCATGTTGAGGAACAGCGAGCCGACGTCCGAGGCCTCTATGAGCGACCGCGCGGCAGCGATGCCGTTGCCCGAGGCGAAGATGAGCAGCGTGGGGAAGCGCGAGAGGAACATGATTGGCCGCAGGTCCAGCCCGTTGGCCTGGAAGGCACCAATCTCCACCTCAGCATCTGTAGGGGAGGAGTGGGTTGGGGTGGTGGGGGGGAGGGGGGGGAGGAGAAGAAGAAGGGGTGGGAGTGTGGGCAGGAGTTAACGCCAAGAAAGTTGGCAATGGAGACGAAAACTGCTCTTCGGATCATTCTGCAAGGTGGAGCCCCAACTCAGCACATGAGGAGTAAACGTCAGCGGAAAAGGGGCTAGAAAAAGGGCGGGGAAGCTGTTTCGTGAGCTCTTTCTTGGTGGCACTCTGGCCTTGATTCGCTTGCGTAAAGATCAGGCTGAACTTAACATAAGATCAGCCTCCCCCACCAGAGTCACTTGCCTCAAGATCAGGCTGGCAGAGAGCTCAAATGCCAAAACAACCAGATTCGCTTTGTGATTCTTGCTGCAAATGACCATTGCCCACCATACTGCAGGCTGACAAGCGGGTTATCATGCGTGACACACAGAATCTGAGACATGGATTGCTCACCAGGTTGCATGTTGCAGAGGATGGTCAGCAGAGGGGATGGTCAGCCGCGACGAGCAGCTATTGAGACGTCTACGATTCTTAAATCTCAACTATAATCTTACCAGGCTGCAAGTCGTAGAGAGGACGGTTGTGCGTGAAAGAATTGGACTGCCTACGTACCAGGCTGCACGTTGTAGAGAGGGTGGTCGGCCGTGACGTGCAGCTCCAGCGGGTGCTTGACTGAGAGCGCGTATTGCGGCGCCTTGGTGGCCCCGGCGGGGATGTCGCCCCGGAGCTTGTAGAGCACGCGCCAGTTGCTCTCGCTGGGGAACGGCGGGCTCGACACGTACGTCGAAACGGCCTCGCCCTCCGGCAGGCGAGCTAGGACGGTCTGGCCGGGCTTGGTGTAGGCCTTGTCAATGGGAATGAACTGCGGGGACGTAAGAAATGAAATGACAGGAGAGGTGAAGCGGGGAGAAGGTGAGTTTTCCGACACGTATGTCACCAAGGGCTCCTCGAGCAGGCGAACCAGGACGGTCTGGCCGGGCTTGGTGTAGGCCTTGTCAATGGGGATGAACTGCGGGGGTGTGGGGAAGGGGAGTACGAAGGAACGGATTCGTTGAGAGCAAAGAGCGGGTGAGGGCGAAAAAATCCATCCCGGCATTACGCCACTGACATTTCTACGGCAACACGATGCTAAGCGCATGCTGCGTCGCCCAGAAATCGAGAGGTGTCTGCTGCGCCAAAATGGTGCATCTCCTGGTGCGAGCATCGCGCACCAGGAGCGGCATGCTCGACATGCTCAGCGGTACTCTCAAGAGCGCTGAAATCCTTGAGTTCTTGACAGGGCGATACGTCAACCTGACGCGCGTGACAGTTTCTGATGCAGTAGCCTGAGACTTGTCGGAAAACAAAAATCAAGGGCTACGATTTTGGTATGGTAACCTCCTTGTTACGCCGCGCGATTAATATGAGGCTATGAGAGGAAAACGGTCATCAACAGAAAAAAAAACATTTTGCTGCTTGTTGACAGTCCCTGATGGTCCAGGATTTCGTTAGTCATCCTGATAGTATACTCGAAGCCAAAACTAGCGAAGGATCATACCCTTGGGTAACGATTCAGTCAGAAAGAGCCATACCTCTCTCGAGATTTCCGCGTTGACCGTCACGACTCGCACGCCAGGAGCGACGTCCTCAGCTGCAATAAAGTCCTTTTGCTCCGCCGCATCCACCTCAACCACCGCATACCTCCTGGTAAAGCATCGTACCTCTCTCGAGATCTCCGCGTTGACCGTCACCACTCGCACGCCAGGAGCGACGTCCTCAACGGCAGTAACAGTCGCGACATTGAAGTCCTTCTGCTCCGCAGCATCCACCTCCACCACCGCATACGGCTTCGACGAATCCTCGCTCTCCTTCAACCGGAGCCGATCGTCTGTCGTGATCTCCGCATTCGCCGTCGGTTGCACAGCGACGGACGCCTTAGGAGTGAACTTGGAGGCTCTCCTGTTCACGGAAGTGAGCGCGAGCTTCGTGCCGTGAGCGAAGGAGTCGGTCTTGATGGAATCGGCGGGTCGCGAGGCTCGTTGTGTGGAGCGGGAGAAGAGCTGGCAGCTCAGCCGGGAGCACTGGAGGGAAGCGGTCGCCATGGCGTATTTAGGCGTCCGAAATGCGGGATCAGGCGATAGCAAATGGAATAGAAGTCTCCGCTTCGCCCCTAGGAAGCTCCTTAGGCTGGGATGCTAAAGCTCGGAGAGTTAGGGCTCCAGCTTCTGTGCTTACTGGCTTCTCCTGACTCTCAGGATTTAGGAGCAGAATGGCTATCTCTTGACCGATGAGAAGCAGTAGACCTCTGCATATGCGAAACAGGTTTACTTGACGCTTAGCTAAGCGCCAGGCACAACAGGCTTCCACCATCCCCCTGGTTGGGGGGTGGGTGCGGGTGGGTGTACGGTATCGTAACAGGATGAGGAGCTCATGGGAGGCCAATCCCAAGGTGAGACGGATCCCCAGGTGAGGCTGAATGCTCCAGGGTTCCCAATTCCCGAAGTGATGGGCCGAGGCCAGGTGGCGAGATGACGGGCGCCGCGTGGATTCCGCAAGCCAAAATGGCTCAAAAGAGCTGCCATGTCACGCTTGACGACAAGGGACTTTTGAGCCTCCTCACGCGGATGGCCTGTCGGCTCGTCCCTGAACCTGCAACGCCCCTTTATATTCGGCTACGTTTTCCGTTTTTCGGCTCGGCTATTTGTACACACATATACATGTATCCAGAACTGTCTAATAATGGGCATCTGTACAAAACTCTCCTATTTCGGTTAACGCAACTGCTTTCAACGCACACTTTCTGGTCACTGGTTCACCATATTGCACCATGCAAATTACCATCTGGGTATATTCCTGCGCACGATGCTGGAATATCCCCTCGGATCCTCGAATGCGTAGTAACATCCTTCTCCTAGCTCGTTCATTCAGCTGTAGGAAAGCCTCTCTATGGCCAGGAGATCATAACTGCGAGTGCTGGCCGCTTCGTTTCACTGCCAGGGCTCACTAGCTTCGTGAATTATGGACAAAGTCAACGATCGTCCCCAGCACGCAGCCACGCAAGGCGTCACGTGTCCAGGTCCAGGCAAGGCTCTTTCAGGCCTGCTGCTTCGCGCTCAGAAGCTCGCTGACAGGAATCCGGCCTGCGTGACAGAGGGACCGATGCAGCAGCAGCAGCAGCAGCCGATCCGGTGGCTGCAGACGCAGCTGCTGTCGTTCCAGCAGCATCTAAGTCAGATGCAGCAGAATCCGAATCAGATGGTGCAGAATCCGAATCAGATGGTGCAGAACCCGAATCAGATGGTGCAGAATCCGAATCAGATGGTGCAGAATCCGAATCAGATGGTGCAGAATCCGAATCAGATGGTGCAGAACCCGAATCAGATTAGCGGTAACAGGTCCAACAATCACTTCGAGAGTGTTCCGCTTAGGCTCCGTCAAGCGGCTGGCGGGTGGTTAAGGGACAGGCAGAGGGACATTGTCCGGTTCGTCGAGGGTTTTCCGGAGGAAGCCGGAGGTATTCTGAGAGGGATTGGTGGTGGAACCGATCCGATCAGCGACAGCTCTGGCGAAACCTGTTACAATGTCGCCGACGCGTCGTCGCTCCCCTGTTGCCACCGTTTCGCCTCCATCACAGCCTCGTTGGCGGGAAGATTCGGCGACGCTGCTGCTCCTGCTCCTGATATGGATCCGGTTGATCAGCAACTGGCTTCGTTACAGTCACCATCCGCGTCAGATCTCGCATCCACCATGGAATCCCGGTCTTCTCTGGGATCTGAAGGTCACGGGTTCGAGTCTTCCGCCAGGCATCTTTTTGACATCGCCATGTCGGCGGATCAAGTCGCGAAGCGGTTAGATGGTGTGCCCGTGTACACTGTGACTAACACGGCTAGCGAGTTCGTGCTTATATCGGACATGGGGGGGAATAAGTCGCTCGGGCTGTTCTGCTTCAGGCGAGAAGACGCCGAAGCGCTGCTGGCTCAGGTATTGCCGAAATGCTGCTGGCTCACGAAAAAAAAACAGCTGCTGCTTCTCCTGACGTACCACTTGCACTCCTCCCTCCCTTCTCGATTTCTCCCTTCTCATTAGCTCTCTCTCATTCTGTTATCTTCTTCCCTTCTCTCCTCCCTCTCGTTCTGCCTGCAGGTAAAAGATCGCGAGCCCTCCCTGGGGCGTGGGGCGAAAGTGGTCCCGGTGTCACTAGACAAGGTGAGCCTCTGCTGAGACGCGAACGTGAGTGTGCGGATCTCAGCAGAGAGAGAACGGTTGGGTGCGGGGCGAGAGTGGTGCCGGTGTCATGTTTAGAGTCTAGACACCGGGAACTCCGCCTTTTGTTTCTTTCCTTTCTCCACCCGTTTCACGTGTTACATCCCCAGTGCCCATCTCGATCCCCCTCCAGTCCAGCCTCAGTGCCCATCGCTATCCCCTCTCTTCCCCTGCATCTTTTGCCTCTCGTGTCCGCTGTCATGCCGCCCGCCCGCGCCCATCAGGTGTACCAACTGTCAGCAGAGGGCATCGCATTCCGCTTCCTGCCAGACCCTGTTCAAGTCAAGCACGCCATTCAGGTGAGAGGTCAGCGGGCAGAGCAGCGGGCAGAGCAGCAAACAAGCACGCCATTCAGGCCGATTTTTTTCACTTGTCCTCCAGCTCACTGCCCCGTCTGCTGCATTTTTCAAGTCCAGTGTTGGAAACTGCTTCTGTTGACTTTCTTCTCCCTCTCGGCTTGCAGGTTTTGTCAGCATCTGGAGATACTGCACGAGCGTTTGATGGGGTTCCAGTCTTTCAGGTGCTGGGTGTAAAGGCATTGTGCATTTCCATTCTTCACTTGCCTCGCCTGCTGTGCCGCTATGTTTTTTGTAACACCAGCATGCCCATCTCACTCTCACTCTCCCATCTCTCTCCTCCTGTCTGTGCCTCTCCTTGTGCTTCCCTTTTTGCAGTCAGAGAATCTCATTCTTCGCAGCAAGAACAGGCGCTTCTGCCCGGTCTTCTTCAATAAGGTTTGCCTCCTAATCTACACTGCCTGCCACTACGAGGTCTTTTTATACATGTTACTGCAGTGACGTGACGCTCTTCCGGGCTCCACCTCGTTGCTTCCTTGCTGTCGCTGTTACCACCTTGTTCTTAATGAAGATTAAATGGATTCGACCCGCAGCAAGCCACCTTGTTCCTCCTCCCCACTTTTTTTTGCAGGTTATTTTTTAGAATTCTCAAAGATACCCTACTTCCTTGCTGTCGCTGTTACCACCTTGTTCCTCCTCCCCACCTTCCCCTTGTCATGCTCCTGTCGTCCCCTCCTTCGTTAGACCACGGTCCACCCAGTCTCTTCCTCCGTCCTCCCCCCCCCCCGCCCCCCCTCTTCGCCGCCATCATGTCTGTTGCCCTCCCAGGAGGATTTGGATGCGGCCCTGAAGAAGGCGATCAAGCAGAAGCAGGCAGTCAACCCCAACATGCGAGTCACCAACAACATTCAGGTGCGAGGGAGGGCGCCTGAGGTGACTTTTGAGTCGACTCAAAAGTCACATGCGAGTCACCAAAAACATACAGGTGCGAGGGAGGGCGCCTGAGGGCAAGGGCGAGTTGTATGTAGGAGTTACCAATAGCATACAGGTGCAAGGGAGAGTGTGGCTGGCTGTGTGCACAGTGGATCTAACACTCATTTTTTAGCGTGAGAGTGAAGCGACGTAGCTGAGCATAGGAGAGTGAGGCTCTGGAGAGGTGCACTAAGAGGCTGGTCCAAATCGTGAACTGCCATTTTCTCTCCGCTTTTCTCTCTCGTTTCTCCCTTGCGTGCTCAAAGCGCTCGATTGTTGAGGCGCTTCAAAAAGAGACTCACTTCTCTTTCTTGCTTCTCTTTTCTTCCCCCCCTCCCCCCCAGGTCGGCAGCTTTGAAGATGTGCTCAAAATGCTGGAGGTGAGTTCGTGGGGCTCTAGAGTTTTCGTTTTCGTTTTCAATGCAGTGTTTGTTCCAGTTGACAGTCAACGGTAAGGACCCCGTCTTCACCCTTCTAGCAACATGATCCTCCTCCAATTCTTCTCTCCTTATCTTCCCTGTCTTTTGAGTCGACTCAAAAGACAATGCAGTGTTAGTTGCAGTGCATTTGACTGTAGATGGTAAGGACTCTGTCCTTCTTCACCCTTCTAGTAACTTAGTTATCCTCCAATTCTTCTCTCCTTATCTTCCCTGTCCAGCGAAACGATGAGGACTCGCTGTGGGGTGACCTGCTCTTTATCCCGCCGGGCATGGATGTGGATGGGTTACTAGGCAAGGCTGTGGCAGCAGCAGCACCACACCGTCCTGTTCTCTGCTAGCCTGGTTACACACTCAGATGAAAATCATCCACCCACGTTACACATAAAGAGTTGTTCAAGGGCCCTTGCTGTTGGTGCCTGGCAGCCTGGGGTTTCCAGCTTAGAAAGAGCATAGAGATACGTGATAGGCAGAGACAAAGATTGCTACCAGTTCAACCTTGTCCTTCGAATCATCAGCAGCGTTCACTTTCACTGGTTCATGCTCAGCAACACTCTTTCTGGGACTCTGTCTGCGGCCATTCAGTGTTGAGACGACCCAATGTTCCGTACTTCTGCATACTGCGAATCACCCACAACCTTGTTTTGGATGATTTGCAACTTCTTTCACTGGTTCATGCTCAGCAGCGTCCTTTCTGGGCTCCTGTGGCCATTCAAGGTCAGCCCAATGTACTTCCGCAGCAGTATACTGCAATTTACCCTGAACCTGGCCAGGCTTCTGTCTTGGATTTGCAGCTTTTACTTTCACTGGTTCAACATTCTTGCTGAGGTTCCCTTGCTGGGCTTCCATAGTTGGCCATTCAAAGGTTAGCCCAATATATTGGTGCATGCTGCTAATCACCCATAACACACTATAGAAGAGCTCACAATATCCCAAATCCCATAGCCCTCAGCAAAAGGGGGAATCTACAAAAGAGCATGATAAGCAGCCATCAGGCGGCTATCAGGGAGGCAGCTCCCTCCAAACCAGGAGAACCTACCCAATGTACACGATGACAGCCACTATAGAAATATGCATCCACAGCTTTTGTAAACACTGTAGCGCATATTTATTTCGGTGTTACCGAAGTAACACCTAGGCCTTTTTCGCGAGGGGGGAGTCGGGGAAAGCGAGCTTCTTCATGTGCTTCTCGCGCGGGTACCGTAGATTGGTGGCCAATCCAACGGCTTCCAGCAGCTTGAGGGTGTACCACGTCATATCGATCTGCCACCAGTCCAAACCGTGGCGCGCCGAGTACTCGAACGCGTGGTGGTTGTTGTGCCAGCCCTCACCGAACGCCAGAATGCCCACCCACCTGTTGCGGGGGATAGTGCAATGGACAGCCATGGAATGCGAAATCAAAGATTGGTTTGGGGAGCGGTCGTACGCGAAAGTGATCGCGAGTGAGATTAGGTAAGGTGATGATTGGCGATATGAAGGGGGAGGGCGTGTGAGTCAATGCGCTGCGCACCAGTTATTTCGAGAAAGATCCCCCGTGTTCCACGGCTGGTCGCCCCAAACGTGCGAGGCGGAGTTGACGAACCACGTGATGTGGTACACCCACACCAGGCGCAGCGCCTGCACACACGAAACCAACGCTCATCAGATGAGGTTCACGAACGTAAGCCAACGGAATACAGAACGAAGGGTCATGAGCCATGCGGTTTGAGATCGTGATTTGACTTACGAAGCCCCATGCGACGAAGGGGAAGCCGCCGAGCGCGTAGAGAGCGACAACGGAGGCGACGATGTGCCAGATGTAGGTCTTATCGATGAACTGGTAGAACGGATCCTTGGTCAGGTCGTATATGTTGTTCTTGCCCTCCAGCTGCAGGGTAAACCACCCACAAGAAAGAGTCAGTTACGCAAGAAAGAGTCAGTTATGGTCTGGAATAAATTGCACTAGTGAAGTGACCCTGACTCAAGCTGGGGGCAAGAGACGAGGGTGCCCATCATGTTCTGAGACAGATAGACGTACCCTGGCGTTTAGCGCCTCGTTATCGAGCAGCCAGCCAGCGTGGCTGTACCAAAACCCCTCATAAGGCGTATGAACGTCCTCGGGTTTGTCGCACCAGCGGTGGTGAATGCGGTGAGCGCTCACCCACTCAAACGGAGAACCCTGTAGCGAGACGCAAGCAGGTTGGACACAAACAGCGCAACACACACCGGAGCATCAGGTGCGGAACGCAGCGCGGAAACGGCATCTCGTAAAAACGCCGGGTAACTTGCGAAGTGTATATGGTGCTACAATTCGTCACTGAGTGGCGACGAAATGGCGATTGGTTACCTGACAGGCGAGGACACCGCAGTAGGCGAAAGTGTACTCGAGCCACTTGGGCAGCACGAAGCTGTGGTGCGTCAGATGGCGATGGAACGAGAGCGTAATTCCGAACATGCCTGTGGCGCAGCACACGCACCAACGCACATATAAAGAAAGCTCAGCACGAAGAAGGAGGCTCCGAGCGATGGAAAGAGTTGGACAAAGATATGGAGAAAAAGATAGGACCGGCAGTGCCAACCAGAGTTGTAGCACTAGTCCGGATATGACCGGGCGAATCAGATGGTGTGACGTCAGCACGTACCTGTGATGACGTACATGGCGACGAAGCACTCGAACGCCTCCCACGAGAAGGTAAACGGCGCGGCGAGCGCGAGCAGGTGGATGCTGCCGAGGAACACGGCGTACCCAATGTCTTTCGGAAGCCACTCGCGGTTGAAGAAATACGGGCGCTTCTTAACGGTTACAACATCGGACCACAACACCTGGTGCGGCACGCCCACGTCATCCAGCTCCTCGAGTTTCTCGAGGATGGTCTTGGGCGGATCGCGCGGGGTCGTAAGGATCTCCTCTTGCTCGATCTCGATCACCGCGGAGATCCCCGCGGGTTTCCGCGCGCGGGGGAAGGGGAGGCGCGCGGGCAGGCGGAGGCTGGTCCCCGCGAAGGGCGACTTGAGGGCGACGCGGTTACGAGAGGCCGTTGTCGATTTCGCGCATGTTACCGCGACGGGGACCGCCGCGTGCGAGAGGAGAGCTGTCGCCATGTTGTTTCGCGTCGGCGAAGGCGAACAATCGTTGACCAGCGATCGGCGAAATTGACGGATCTTTTTCCAGGTGTATCGGGTTGACGTGCGCGGCAAACCGCGATAGCTATCCTTCACAAACAAGAATCCGGAAGAAGCTTGACTCGATGAGCTGATCGCGTGAGACACAAGTGACAGTAAAGCGACTGATGCGTCGCTGGTCCAGAGATGAAAGGAGCTTGCGTGTTGGGTGTGTTTATAAGCCTTTTGAGACTCCCTCATGCAGTGCAGTGAAGGGGATCGCCCGTGTTGGTGATGCTGTGGGGTGAGAGGGATGGTCTGTCACACGGGTGAGAGAGTGACTGGGAAGAGGAAGGATGGGCAGAAAGCAGGGCGGGATTGCGTTCGATTGCTTGAATGTGCGTTGGCACGGGGAGTGCGACGCTGGCGCGGGGGAATTGGCCTACAGCCATGCACGCTCGCACTAACTCACACGAGCCGAGCAGAAGGGGGGGTTGCGCTGGAAAGAGGGGAAACGGACAGGGGCAATGAAAGGTGTGGATGGCGCCATCTCTCGTGCCTTGTCTGCAAAGCTAGAGGCGCAAATTTGAAGCGCAAAACGGGGAGGATAATGCTGCGCGGGAGCCAGGCGCATAAATGAGGCGCAAAACTGTGGGTTCTTGCGGGGAGTTCGAGAAATTGCATCTGCGCCCTCCTGGGCCCCCCCCCACGCTCAACCGAATTATCGCCGAGCCGCATCGTGTTACCGCAGCGCTTGTGGATAGAAACCAGGGATGTCAATTCGATCAGCTTGGCGCGACTGCCAGCGTGTACCTAGGTCTCAGACCATTCGCGAATCCGCAGTTGCCATGTTGGTGAGGATGGCCCGTAAAGTGTGGTGGTGATTTCAGTGGTTCTCACGAGGGAGCGACGCTGCGTTGTCACGTCATCTCGATCTGCTTGGACACGAGCACGGGACCGCTGCTGTGTTGGCTTTGCGATGTTCCACCTGAAAAGGGCAGCTGTCTGCTGGAACGCGGTTCGGAAATGGCTACCTCTGGCGGATTGGTTCTCTTTCAACTGAGTCAGCGCGTTCTGAACTCGGAAAATATCTTGTCCACCAAACGCAGAAGTAACCCCGGTTCTGCGACACTTCGTTATGAATGTCAGGTTATGTTCACTAACACAGCTCTATATAACACATACGTCCATGGCCTAAGAACATCGATGTGAAAGCCAACTCCTGGATTGCTGAGCGTGTGTTGCTGTTCACCATGAAATTATAATTTTTAACACACGTAGTGTTTTTCAAAAATTGTGTATTGTGAATGCGAAGCTGATTGTACTGAAGCGTTGGGCATCGTCGAAGTGCGCTACTCGCCCTTCTCCAACTACATATACGTGGGTTGGAGCTCATTTACCTCCACCCACGTCTCTCATTTTTCAAACGGCTCAGTCCACTTTCCCGCTCTAGCTTTTCTCCCGTTCAAGCTGGCTAAGACTAGAACTTTGCCTCGCGGCGAGTCTCCCTCGACTCTTCTCTCCGACATTTTTAAGTTTCACCAATCCGTCATGGCTCCGACTACGAATAATCGCGGCGAGTCCAACGTCGTCACCGGCCACCCCAATTCCGAGTCTACTCGCCAAGCCCCGGAAATTGCGGGCGACCGGCGCAACAAGCGTCGGGCAGAAGAAGGGGCGGCCGCCCCAGCTGGGGTTGACGTTCTGCTGGGAAGGGGCGAGGTCAACAGTCAGCCTGCTGACGCGCCCCCGCCCCCTTCTGAGCCACACGCGCAAGTGGCTGGGCAGAGCCAGCCACTCGCGCCTGACGCCGAGCAGCAGCACGCGCCAGCCCCGCAAGTGGCGGGTCCTTCTCGCCAGCGAAAAAGGGGGCGCGCGGCTGCCTCATCTGACGTGCCGCCCACCCCGACATTGACCCCGTCGTTGACCCCTGCGCAGGTCAACGCGCTGTTGACGCTGTTACAGCAACAGGCGACGAGTGTTACGGCCGCCGAAACTGCTCAACCTGCTGCTTCTGAATCTGCTAAAAAAGAACCTGCAAAAACAAAAAAGGCCACACGCGGAACCAAGACGCCACGCCTCGCCAAAGACGCCGTCGCCAGCATCCCGCCTGCCCCGGCGGCCGACAACGACAGCGACGACTCCGACAATGACGATGGTGAGGTCCCCGGCACTGCTGCAAATTCAATTCCCATGGAGCACCTCCCACCACTCCCGTCCACTAACACCACCCTCTCGGCGGCGTCTTTCCTCAACGCGACCGTGCGCGAGCAAGCGGAAGTCCTAGAGGACCTTCGGGCATACCTGAAGCACGCCGAGTTCAAGGTGCAGCACGGCGACGCGCCGGGCGGCCTCGAATTCCTCGCCGACGCGCTCGCCCTCATATCGCGACGCTTCGAAGTTCTCCAAGTCGAAGACGCCTCCGACTTCCGCACGGCCAAGCGTTTCAAGCTGTACCAGCAGAAGAGTCTGCTTACCTCAAGGCCTTTCAAGCAGGCCGTCGCTGACGTGGCCGCAATGGACCGCGCCGAGGGCGGGTTTGCTCGTGGAAATCGCGGAGGCGGCCGCATGCCCATGCCGTTCGTGCCAAAGCGTGGTCTGCCGCCTACGGGAGAATTCCGTGGCTTCCGAGGCACTTGCTTCCGCTGTGGCCAGCC